GACCCGGGCCAGGGGGAAGGTCAGAAGTGTCGCTTGGGCAGACAGGTCCCCACCCCTCGGAAACCTCGCCCCTCGCAGGGCTGACGGCTTCCTGCTGGCCCCACACTGCAAACTGAAATCGCGCGAGAGGGGTACCTTTTTTGTGTGCCATAAGCCGCATTTTGTTCAAAAGAACTAACCCGACCATCTCGTATCGCTCACCCCTTCTCCTGACGGCTTTTAAAAAAAGGAACCGCGTTGAAAAGACCCATCCTTCCCTGTCCTTCGAAAACGACACCTCCACTCCGATTCTCCCATGTATCCTTGTGTCGCCCCTTCCCAAATCACTGAGCGTTACTGTGCCCTGAGGCCCGCACTTGGGGCCGGGGTGCAGCCGGGAGTGAAACAGAATCGCTTCCAACCCGCGGGAACTTCCGACCCAGCGCAGAGCTTTGCACGCGGTAACGTGCACCCCGATCGTGGGAGAACGCACCTTCCGATCAACAGGTCTGGGACGGGGCCCAGGATTCTGCATTTCTGGAAGGTCCCGGATGACGCCCATGCCGCTGGGCTTCCGGGAACATTTTGAGGAGCGAGGAAATGGGAACCGTAGGCAATTAAGTCAGGGTTTACAGAAAGCGCAGTACGCACTGGCAAGGGCCTTGCTGAATGGGCTTGCATTTTAGACAGGCCGCTCTGGCCACAGAGCCCGGAGGGGGACAGGTGTGGAGGAAGGGGAACCACTGCGATGGCCTTCCTGGTGAGGAACGGTGGTGGCTGCCGCTAGGAGACCAGCAGGTGACCACGGTGATCCGTTGTCGCGGCTCGGGGCGGTGGTCCAGGAGAGCGCTGAGCACTGGCTGAGGCAGCGCAGGACCCTGGACCTGAATTAGAATTAAATTTCTAACGTGGCCTCGTTGGCTAGAGAGACCTTCCTCCCTCTCCAGGCTCCAGGCCCCTCTCGTCACCTTTGGGCATCCTCAGCCCTACCTTCTGCCTCAGAGGGAAGCCACAGGATGCGTGGCCAGTAGGCTGATTTCCCCTCTGATGGGTCGGTCGTGCTGTGTATTCCTGCAGGCAAATCTGCTCCGGGAAGAAGGCAGCCGGGAAGGTTACTCCCAGCTCCTGAGGGACTTTGAGCAGTGGTTGGAGGTGGAAAACGCCAAGCTGGTTAGCATCATCGCGATGAGAATGGCCGCAGCCAGGGATCTGAGGGCCAGGGAAACGAAGCTACAGGTTTGTTGCCACAAAACGGCCCTCCTTTTGCACCCACGGATGTGTTCGCCACCAGGGGCTTCTTCAAAAAGAAGCACACACGCGGCTTGTGAGCCATTTTCATCCGTGTATAAGTAATAGTCTCTGAACTTTTTTGGTTCACGTATTTCCGAAGGACTTTCGGAGAACCATTCATTCCTTCAGCCTCCTTCTGTGTTCCCCAGCTTGGACAATATCACGCCTCATCACGACTCCTATCCATCGGCGAGCCGTGGCTGTGTAACAAACCCTTCCATCGGTTTGAGCTTTCAAACAGCAACCGGTTATTTGACTCATGGTTCCGAAGGTTGGCAATTTAGGCCGAGCTCATCTGGGCAGAGCTTCTGGTCTTGGCTGGGCTCCCTTATTTGCTGTCAGTTATAGGTCAGCGGGGTGGCTCTACTCTGGGGGGCTGGCAGGCTGTGGGAGATGAGCATGAGACGGACCGCACAGCCCTCATCCTCTTGTGGGACAGCCCAGGCTTCTTGTGGTAGAGGCGTCGTGTCAGAGGGCAAGTGGGAGCACTCGAGGCTTCTGAGGCCTCGAGTAGGAACTGGCGTATTACTTGCCCTGGATTCCGTTGGACAAAAAGGGTCACAGGGCCAACCCATGTTCACGGGGAGGGAAAACAGACTCCACCTCTTGGTAGAAAGGACTCAAAGTCATATTGCAAAGGTCATGAATATGGCGGGAATATGGTCATGAATATGGCGGGGCGTCATGGCCATTTTTGCAGTCCTTCTACCACAGATCTTTCTCCTTCACGCCCATATCTAAATAGTCACCAAGCCCTCCTGGATTCCACCTCCTGGGACTTTTTTGTTTCTGTCCCCTCTTACTATCACTATGTTAATCTAGATACTTTTGACTTGATGATGGCAATAGCCTCCCAGCTGGCCTTCTTTCTTCCTGATGGGCCCCATCCAGGTCCTGGCTCATTCCGCGGCTAGAGTGACCTTTAGCCTCATGAATGTGACTTTATCCTTCCCCTGATGTAAACCTTTCGGTATAGAGGCCAGCCTCCCAAACGTATCACACAAAGCCTTTCTCATCCGGGCCCCAGCTTACCTCTCTTTTTCCTTATTTCTCTGCAGTTTTATTAGGATATGTTAGGGTTTGGATGGCTTTTTAGTTTTCTTACTTGGGATTCATCTGGATACTGGAATCTGTAGTCTAGAGTCTTTCCGGAAAATTCTAGAGCATTCTCTGATACTAACATACTGCCTTTGCCTTATCCCCTTTCTCCTCTCCTGCTGTGATGCTGCTTAGACACATGTTATTCCTTCTCTCTGTGGGCTCTATGTCTCCTACCTTCTCTTGCGTTTTGTTCATCCTCTCTCTTCCTGTTGCATTCTGGAGAGTTTTTCTACACTACCTTCCGGTTTACTAATTCTCTCTTTCACTGTGTCTCATTCACTATTACACACGTCTGTTAAGCCTTTCGCTTTTGATATTGTATTTGCCAGTTCTAGAATTTCTACCTGGTTCTTTTGAAATGCTACTCTGTCACTTTTTGTAGCTTCCAGATCCCTGCTGAGTCTGGTTGTTAATTCTTCAAGCACGGTAGCTGTTTTATATAGTGCATCTAATAATTCTCAAGTCATTTTAGGAACATTTCTTTTGCATGTTGTTTCTGCTTGTTCTTGTTATCAGTGTCTTGTATATATGAGGCTGCTTTGATTGTGTGCTGGGCATTGCATTTGACGAAATAGATGTAGGGGTAATTTGAGATTCAGGATCACCTCTTCTCCAGAGAGAATTTTGTTTGTGACTGCCAGGCAAGGAGGACATTATTGTTCTGAAACCAGTGAGTCCAAGTTCAAAGTTTGAGGCTCCCTGGACCACTGGTGACCTGGGCCGGACTTTAGTCCACTAAAGGTGTGAATTTACTTCTTTTCTTTTTTCTTTTTTTTTTTATTATGTTTCTTTATTTTTGAGAGGCAGAGAGAGAGAGAGAGAGAGAGAGAGAGAGAGAGAGCACAAGTGGGGGAGGGACAGAGAGAGAGGGGGACACAGAATCTGAAGCAGGCTCCAGGCTCTGAGCTGCCAGCACAGAGCCCGACGCGGGGCTCGAACCCACGGACCGTGAGATCATGACCTGAGCTGACGTCGGACGCTCAACCGACTGAGCCACCCGGGTGCCCCAAGTGTGAGTTTACTTCTGATTCACCTTTAGGAATCTCAGCCAAAGGGGAAGCAGATTATCAAAGTCTCTATCCCTGCAGAGCCCAGACCTTGACCTTTGTCTCCATAGCCCCATGAGGTTTCCCAAAGCGTGATCCGTTTCACAACTGTTTCTTCCAGATCGACAACTGTCCTGCAGACAAAAGCCGGTCTGAACACCGGCCTTACTTCTTTGGGTCTCACCCTTTCCCAGGGTTTAGCCTGATGCGTCTTGCTCTCTCGTTAACTCTTTGATGACTCTTAAGTGTTTCTAATACTTTGCCCTCCGTGAGAAGTTTGGTCCAACTACCTACGACGAGGAAGTCCTTGCGTCCCTCTTGTCTCTCATTTGGCTGTGATGCTCATTTTGTGCCACCACCATCCAACCCCAGCCGTAGCAGAGATTACTTGCGGCTGCCCCCGTGTAGGCCTCCTTGCTCTTAAAGAGTTCACGTTCTAGTCGGTTCTGAGAAGCTGCGCAACCTGCCCATATCACACCACCAGCAGGATGGGGTGGAGGCAGGATCCTTGGCCAGAATTTAAACCCACACGCTCAGATTTGCAGCCCTGCTCCTACCCCTACATCGCTACCTCTCAGGAGTCCTGAGGATAACAAGTGCCACCCTGGGGTGACACAGTACTATATTGTGATAGAAAAATCTGCCGGCTCCCAGTAGCACTCTGCCAGGCTTAAGAATGCCAACAGAAAAGCACGTTCAACCGTGGTGGCTCTTATCCTGATGGTGACTCTTCTGTCAAACCCTCCAAGGACTTGGTTCTAGAATGTCAGAGGCGGAAGTGACCACGGAGGTCAGCAGCGCACCTGCCCCCCTCAGGCAGGAGTTCCTTCTGTAGCATTCCAGAGAGCGACTGCCTGGCCTTGGCTTGAATTTGCACGATGGGCTTCTCACTTTACAGGTTCCTTCGGCTGCCTCTCGAGACAAATTCGATTGGCTCCTCCTTACCAGGCAGGTGGGGCCGTCTGGGCCATTTGGAAGGTGCACGTGACACTGCCTGTCCCCACAGGAGCTGCAGGCTCGGGTGCCAGAAGGTCAGCGTCTCTTCGAGAACCTCCTTCATGTCGGGCCAGCGAGGGGGTCCTCGGACGAGCTCGAGGACCTGCGTTACCGGTGGATGCTGTACAAGTCCAAGCTCAAGGACTCCGGCCACCTGCTGGTAGGTGCCAGGGCGTGCAGCTCCCAGGCCCCAGGGGCGGGGCTATGGCTGAGCCCGAGCTCGTCTGGGGAGACGTAGCTGGGCGACATCCTCTCTGCCCCACACGCTAAACTCGGGCGTGAGTGATGGAGGCTCGCGGGTCGTAGGTGCTTCACTTCCAACATGTCCCCTGGCCATCCTGCCGCCCCGTGAGGCTGGCGCTCCGGTAATGACAGCAGTGACCATCACGGTTCACGTTCGAGGAGCGGCTCAGCTGAAGTCTTTATGACCCCATTCAGGTCCTTACACCAGTCTCCAAAGGGAGAGCGGAGACTGAGAGCCGGAACTCCCACGGCCGTGGCGCTAGTAAGCCAGCATTCAAACACGCCCTGCCGTGGGAGGCACCATGGAGGGGCACGCTGGACTGGGGCCCGGGGCCCTGGGATCCAGCCCTACTTCTCCACCCATTTGCTCTGTGATTGTGGACCATCACCTTCCCCCTTTGCGTCCCCGTGCATCCTCACACAACACGATGATAAAGCTAACTAGTAATAACAGCCTTTATTAAATGCCGTGCCCCCATAGCAACCCTACAGAGGGGGCACCGTTGTCATTCCCCGAGAAGAGAAGCGATGGGGAAACTGAGGCACCAGGGTTAGCCCGAGGAGGGGGGCAGTCGAGACGGCCTCTGAGGGGGCCCTCAGGTCCCAGACGCCAAGCTTCAGCGCTCTAGCTTTGCCGTCCCCGCCACGGCCGCCGTGGCCACTAGGTGTCAGCGCAGTCCCAGCCAGGTGGCCGCCGCCGGCCCAGGCTTCCCAGACGGAATCCCACCTGGGCCTGAAGTGCGTTAAAAAGCTCATTAAATCGAATCACCTGCTGGTTCAGCCTGTCCAGATGACCAGAAGTTTTAAAGAAACACTCCCCTGACAAAATGAATATTCCATTACAGGCTCTGCTGGGATTTGAGTATCACTCACTTAACTTCTTCCCCCCCCCCACCCCCCTTTTCCTCTCCTTCCCGAAAATAACAGACACAGAGTTCTCCAGGGGAGCCGACTGGATTCCAAAAGGTACGGTGTTTGCCATCTGCTCCACACGCTAGAGGGCAGGGCGTCTGGAGGTGGGTAGGCCTGTGACGCTGCAGCCAGACCCCCGGGCTTTCTGGAAGGTTCCGCGAGGTCTGAGGAACATTTATGGGGAATGAGCTGCGGGCCGTGTTGTGCTGTGCCGGGCCCCGGGGTCCTCGGGAGGCCTCAGGAGTGTGTGCAGAACGTATTCAGCTGTGACAAACGCATGACAGAGGAGGGACCCTGGAATTTTTCATCGCACGCCAGGATGCGGTGGGGAGTGAACAAGGACGCGATTAACAATTATGTTGTGACAACAGGTGTCAACCAGGACTGTCCCGGGAGACCTGGACCACTCCAGGCCAACTGGATCGTGTGGCCGCCTGAGTGGTGGTTGGGCACACGGGGGCCAGTGGGGGAGTAACGGGGGAAAGGGGGGTTGTGCCTCGCGTGCTCTACGAGGAAGGTGTTTCCACTTCTGGCCGCTGAGAAGCGCTCAGAGCCACTCCTGTGGCGTTTGCAGGCCGAAGTGCTAACCGTGGGAGCGGCACTAGTCGTGAGTACTAATCATTATTACTTTAGACGCTCTGTGTCGTCCATCCACCGTGTGCCGGAAAATCCTGCTGAATCATGGTGAGGGCACCTCATTTAACGGTACCATCAACACCCAAGAGGCATCACCGCCTTCACGGAAGCGTGGGGAAACTGAGCAATGCAAGGTCGGAATGAGTCCTTCAGCACAGGCACGTGGCTTCTGGGTGGTCTCTGGGCTGTGGCCCCAAGGCCGTCACCTGGACTTTCCACACCGTGCCTTGGAGAAGGCATCCCTGGGGCCTGGCGGGTGTCCCTGCTTCAGGGAAAACCCGATGTGAATGGATGTCTCCTTTTGCAAGGGAGCTCTCGTTTCAAGCCCTGGCCCAGAACAGAGTGAGCCTTCAGCAGGCTCTGCTCCAAAGAGCCCTGGGTTCCTCGAGGTCCCTAATGCCATGGGATCGGTTTCCAGGCGCTTTGCACACTGGGATTTCTTCTTGGTCTCCAGCGGGTTTTTGTGTCTCACGTCCGTAGGAGAGCTGGTGTCCTGTGGACTGGGTCGGGCGGTCACGAGACCAACGCTGTGCTTGGGGCCCAGCGTCAACTAGCTTGGTGGCTTTGGGCAAGTGGCTTTGCCTCTTGGGGCTTGACTTTCCCCATCTGTAAAATGGAATTATCAGTGCCGACTTTCGTCGTGAATGAATTCTGAAGATCATGTGAACTGTCATTTGTAGAAGTCCTTCAGGGAGACTGTAGCCCTGGATCCCCCCCTCATTTAGAATGACAGCCTCCTCGAGAAATGTGCAAGACCATCAGGAAGCCCGGTGGCTTCCGGGGGCTTCCATACTTTTAAGCCCTGCACTGGGGAGCCCCCATCTGGAGCTCCCAGGGGGAACCTGGAGGAGTCATGTCTGGGTCCCCTGATCCCTTGCACACAGCGAGTGCTCACTAAATGTTTCTGAGCCGGGGGACACTTGGCTGGGGGAGGCCGGGCCTCCCAAGCAGGCTGTTTCCTGGCAGCCTGCGATTGGCTTAGCGTGGAATGTCCACAGCCCTGTCGTTCGGGGCTCAGCCACAGCTCATTTGCTGTCCGTCATTCGTTCCACAAGTATTTACTGAGTGCTGACCGGGCCAAGGACTGATGTGGGCACTCGGGATCCGTCAGTGATCACAAGAGCAAAGTCCTGCCCTGGTGGACTGCAAATGCGTCCTGGCTGGGAGGAACGGCACGTCTCTGAGGCCGGGGCTCTAAGGGGCAAAGGTGGACTGGGGTCCTCATAGCTACAGGTTGTGTCTTATCTGCGGCTGGCAGATACTGGGCACGGCTTTGTGGGGTATGCGAAATGGGCAGGCTCTAAATGGCTAAAAAACACACTTATCCGGGCTCTGTGTAAAATAATCGGATGCGTAGGGGTGCCTGGGTGGCTCCGTCGGTTAAGCGTCCAACTCTTGATTTTGGCTCAGGTCATGATCTTGCAGTTCTGCTTGGGATTCTCTCTCTCTCTGCCCTCTCTCTCTCTGCCCTTACCCCGTTCATGCATCTCTTTCTCAAAATAGGTAAACTTTAAAAAGTTAAAAAAAAAATAATAGTAACATAAAATAATCGGATGTGTAACAATCTGAGTTTGCGGCTGGCCACCTGGCTTTCGTGAAGCCTGCCCACGAGGAAAGAAGCAACCTGCGAGGCCATCTCGGGCTCATCTATGCGACAGCTTAGGCACAGATTTCTGGGTCCCACCCTGAGTTTTTGGTCCACTAGGGCGGAGACGGCCCAAGAATCTGCATCCCTAGCAAGTTCCCAAGTGACGCTGACGCTGCTGGCCTGGGACCCCACTTCAAGAACCACAGCTTGACGCACCGGATTTGAATCTCGGATCCACCATTAGTGTGCGTGACTGTCGACGAGCCACTTAGTGACGCTCTCCAAGGAACACAACGAGGGTCCGCCAAGCTGATGGTGGACAGAGTCCTTGTAACTCTGCGCATAGTAGGTTTTCGATGGCCAGGTAAATGAGGACCTTGAAGACTTTGCAGACGCCGCCCGTGCTTATATCCCTCGGAGAACAAAGGGAACAATGACACCCCTGGCTGGGGTGGGGGGGAGACCCCTCCCTTGGGTGTGTTTCTTGTGTTGTTTCTGCGGCCCGTGTGTGTGCACACAGACGCATATACACACACACGCTGACAGGGTGACAGTGCTGTCTTCAGAGGCTGTAATCTGGCTACCTTAAAAAACATTTCATATGTTATTTTTAGTCCAAAAGAAAAAAAAAAAA